AGGAGGAGGAGGAGGAGGTCTGTCTGGCAGATATAAAGATGGTGTTTCGGAGTGAGGAGATGTGCTTGGCGCAATTGTTTCTGCAGTCCGGCTCTGAATATGACTGCATAAGTGAGCTCGGTGAGCTGGGGCTGGTCGAGTTCCGAGATGTAAGTAGAGAGGCTGATGATGCACAAACACTCATTTTCTCATCAGCAGTTTAAAAGTCATGGTGCTTATTTGAATGTAGCATGTTTTTTTAAAAAACTAATATGGAACAAATTACCTTTATGGTTGAGGGGGAGGGTGAATGGGGGGAACTTCTCCCTATAAATAGACCTAAATGTTCATGCGCACTTCAGTTTTTTTAAGATGCTAAATCTATCTATCTATCTATCTGTCTGTCTGTCTATATATACATTATGACTGAATGTTCATGTAAAATGGCTGTACACCTACAGTACATCCACACTGGCAGATGGGGATGTAGATACATTAAGTTTTTTAAACAGTATTTAAACTACAATAAACAATAATGAACAATATGTATATCTGAAACTATGTAAAGATGCCATCATGTCCCTTGTCGTTGCTCCTCCACATGCATTGACTGATGCTGCCACCTGACCTACAATGCTCCTCTGGTTTCAGCTCAACCCGAGTGTCAGCTCGTTCCAGCGGCGCTTCGTCAGCGAAATCAAGAGATGTGAGGAGATGGAGAGAATTCTGGGTAAGAGAGCACCTGGGGTGGTTCATCATGTGGGTGTAGCCTGGGCATACACTTGGACAAGTATTGTGTTTTGTAAAATGGGCCCTCAGAGATTTGAGATCTCACAGCTTGCTCCGACACTCCGGCAGTAATTACCTTGAAACAAACTATCAGCATATTTGTGTGGACAGGCTACCTGCTGAGGGAGATTCAAAAGGCTAACATAGCCGTTCCAGAGGAGGATGAGAGTCCACTTGCTCCTCCCCCCAGACAAGTCCTTGAGATCATGGTAAGTGTCATTTCAGCCACATTTTACTATAAAAGTGTCAATTTTTTTCATTTTTCTGTACCATTTACATGAAACACAGAGAAACCTTTTTATAAAATAACATGCTAATATCATATAGGTTTCAGATTGCTACAGCAGTGCAGACA